ATCAGAGCAGCTCGGCATCCCTCTCGTGCCGTTCGGAGGTGCAACCGTGCCAAATTTCCGCACGGTTGCACCTCCGAACGGCATCTGGGCGCTTGATGGGCGCTTAGTAAGCGATGTAAGTGCGGACTGTTACTGTGCTTTTGAGAGCTTGTTTAGACTCAGAAAAAAGCGGAAAATTGAGACAATATTCAAAATGATCCAGGCAATGTGAATGAAGCTGTATATTGCATGGGTTTGACATCAGATCAGATAGCATTCTCAATAACCTGGTAAGATGGTTGCTGTGGCCCCAGTGAGCTTATATAAGCCTGCTACTTCACTCTTGGAACTGCTCATGTACTGGACAACCCTATAAGATCATAGTGTAAGTACACATTCAGGTATGTATCCCTAGATTGTGTCTGTGAGCAAGACAAAGCCAGCAGTGGATGCATAATTACCATATGGAGTATGTGACCTTCCCAAAGAGGAATCATACACAAACAGGGGCATGTAGGGCTCAGAGAAATGCAGAAAATCTATGAAATATACAGACACATCAAAGACAAATGTATGATTGCCTTGAGCTGCAATGGTTACCATTACATTGTATGCAAGGGCCATAAGATGGCAAAAGATGCTCAGATTAACCATTATAGTCCTTGTTACCTGTATTATTGAAGCTACTGAGTAGTCCACAGTGTCTGAACTACACATATACATTGCAGTGTACATATAGGAGTCATAAACAAGCAGATTGAATCTGCAGAGGCACATGTGCATTTTTTTTGCTTTGCATTTCCTGGCCTAGCCAGCCACTGTATGCACTCAGTAAAATTCCTGTATACTCTCTGAATGAAGGGCTATCAGATGAGCATACTATGTATACTATGATTTGTTACTGGCTGAGGCTATATAGGCCCTATAGTGTGTGAGCGCTTGGAGCAATGGCCCACCAAGCTGCCAGTCACATGATATGTTTACCAGTTTCCTTATTGGGGGAACTGCTAAGGCGTTTCATGGCCCTCAAATCCATAACTGAGCGCTTAGCCACTGCATTTGTTTGTATCTGTTGGTCCAAGTCGCGTCGTCTGGGAGTCTGAAATTTCAGACTCAGATAAGCAACCCATACTAACAGTTACTTATCTCTGCTTATCGGGGTGGCTGCATGTCACGTGCACTGTGGGAACAAACTGCCATTCCGGAGGAATCGCTAAGGCGTTTCATGGTGGTCCATCATAAGAACGATACCTTCGTACCTCAGGGATCGTAATGTTGTGGGTGCTGTCATTCTGGTGGCCAATGATCTTGACTGAGGGGTGGATATTGGGTGGATGGCACGGTATTGCATGTTGTTGCTGATGTTATGATTGTATGATGTATGCCCATGATATATGCTATGACTATAAGATGATTATGTTCCATGCATATCTGGTGTGCAATGGCAGGAGTCAATAGGGAGCTTCCACAATCATTCTGTATGATTCTCTCCTCAAATACGCAACAGTGCTATGTGGGCCCTGCAATTATTTGATCAGCCACGTGATGGGAAATTACAAAGAGCTTCACATGATCAAGTTGAACTGTACTAAGCGCCTACACGTCTCTGTGACTGCAACTATCATCATGCTGCTGCAACGTTTGATAACATTCATCCTTGCTGTGTCTGTTGTTTGCATATGGATCCATATCCATCACTTTAGCAACATAACAGACCATGCAATCACATTGTCCTCTCAATGCTTACATATGGAAAAGTCTGGAAGTGTGCTAGCAGACACACAACAAAAATTATCTGCACCCTCTATAGTAATGGCTCAGGATAGCACCATCACAAAAATGCTTCCAAAAAATCCATCTCTACCAATACACCCACCTCTGTTGCTGAAGCATCATACCACAACCCATCATATGTTAATGGCTCACCTACTCTTTTCATGTATGTTGCTGAACAATGAGATATCACTCATCAACCTATACTTACAACGTAACATGATGTTATCACATGATTTTGCTGTCCGATGTATGAGACTCTACCAGGCCAATCTAACTAGTGCTCAGTTTGGCAGCTTCATCTCAGTGGTATATCCTCGCAACCAAAGACTTTCAGCCTGTAAACCATCTGTCAACAACAAAAGCAACTTTGTGCAATTTGGTGGAGGTGCAAAGAGACATGTAGCAGGTGAACAATGGACATGGAAACAGCTCATGTCATACTGTAGCGATGCAGCTCAGCTCCAACATGACAGTTACATGCCCAATGAATTATTTGTGTTCACATATTATTGCAAACAGGAGGATGTAAAAGCATTTGCAGCAGAGTCTAGTAATCTTGTTGCAGCTCAGATACCATTGATTGAATTGACAACATTACCACTGAGACACTTGAAGATTATTTCAAAAATGCATGGTCTTGAATGCACATCAAAGTCATCTGTTGATGGCATCCGGACTGCCATGAAATCACATCAATGTTCTGCAACATGCAACACTTTCACTTCCTTATTGCAGAAGTGGAAAGGTCCTGTCCCACGTTATAATCATGTGCAAAAATTTAGGGATACTGTCAGGGCAGATAATACAACTTGTCAAAATAAAACACCATTCCCTCCTCCACCTTCTAGCAAAGCTTTGACAGAACAAGTTATAACCAATTTCAGTCATGCCATCCACCCTTCACAACACATTGAAACAGGTTGTGCTGTGTGTGGCATGTTGACACCCATGAAAAGATCATACCCCCTGTCTCCGGTGAAAGATATGTTATCTGTGCTTGATACATATGGATTAGGCATTACAAGGAAGGAGAGACAGTCAGAGTCTGATCCCATAGTTGATCTCAAGGGCCCAGTGCTACTGCCAGGCTCTTCTCATGTGTGTCATACATGCAAACTTGCACTTGAAGGGGGTGCTATCCCAAACAATGCACTTGCAAATGGACTGTGGATTGGTGAAGTACCATCACAGCTTCAGAACCTGACCTGGGCTGAGCGCACACTCATTGCTCGTGTGAATCACAATAGGTGTGTTATACGTGTCAAAGGCTCTCTGCAGAGCAAGATGATAGCAAATGCAGTATGCCATACCATTCCTATGCCAAAGGTGTACAATGCCTTACCCCCAAGTCCGGAGGAGCTTGATGAGGTTCTGGCATATATCTACATAGGACCAACCAAACCAGTCATCAAGGACCATCATCGAACTCCACTCTTGGTGAGGTTTAACAAGGTTGCAACAGCCTTGGAATGGCTGAAATTAAATCACATAGACTATGCAGACCTCAGTATATCCTATAAAAATCTTGCCATGTATTCTGAAAACAGCCCGCCAGTTGTGGTTGACTATCACCCTGGTGATGGCCAAAAAGACGAAGAAGCAAGAGCAGCTAATGATACTGATGACAATGAAGGCACAACAGAGGGACCATGTCCTTTTGTTGTTCATGGTCTTGTTGGAGAGCAATTAAATGAAATGAGTACAAATGCACTGCGAGCATATGCACTGCAATACTTCAAGAACAAGAAAAACATGGCACTGGGCATTGGACAGTCAGAACAACCAGAATCTCTATATGGCAATCCACAGCTATATCCTCAGATGTTTCCTTGGCTATTTCCATATGGACTTGGTGGCCCTGGGAACACTCGAGGCACTAAATGTGTTTCAGAGATTGAGAGGAAACAGCAACTGTTAATGTACCATGACAAGCGATTTCAGATGGAGCAATATTTCCCACTTGTAGCATTCAATCATGAGCAAATTAGGAGTAGTACTACAGGTGGCTTTCTACTTGCTGAGCAACAGAAATTTCCTGACATAGCCAATCGCCTATTGTCTATCAATGAAGATGTGCTTGCTGGTTTAGCGGAGAAGCTGAAAGATGGCCACTACTACAAACCAGAGACACAGGCTGAGAAGGACTGCTACCAATTGATCCAGGATGTTGACCACGTTGCTCACAAAGTCCAGGGCTCACTAACGAACAGAAAATACATGAGGAATGAAATCTGGGCTCTCATATCATACCTTGGTGCACCTTTGTGGTTCATAACATTTGCACCTGCAGATGTGAAGCATCCTTTGTGTTTGTATTTTGCAGGTGCTGATGAAACATACAAACCTGAGATATTGGACAGCAATACACGTACAAGATTGATTGCAGCTAATCCTGTTGCAGGTGCACGCTTTTTTCATGTTGTTGTACAGTTGTTTATTCAACATGTACTTGGAGTAGGTGCTAACCATCCTGGATTGTATGGTGAGACTTCTGGATACTATGGCACAGTTGAGCAGCAAGGTAGAATGACACTCCATCTCCACATGATGCTATGGATCTTGAATTCACTGACACCACAGGAAATCAGGGACCACATAATGGATTCCAGTTCTGACTTCCAACAAAATTGGTTGAATATCTAGAAGGGGTGCACCAAGCAGAATTTATTGACTCAACCATGGCTGAAGTTGAGGACAATATAACACAGGCTCAGGAGTCAACTGAGTATCAGGATCCCACTCAGACTTTGCCAATTGCTCCCGTCACAGATGCTCAAGCTGATTCACACACAACAATGGGTACATGGTGGGAGAAATTCAAGTATACAGTCAATGACATTGTGTACAAATCAAATCGCCACCAGTGCTCCACTGCCCCGGGAGGTTGTAAGCTGGACAAAAAGTCAGGCAAACTGTTGAAGGTCTGTAAAAGACGCTTTCCAAGATCAGTGAGACCATGTACCATCATGGATCCAAACAGTGGTGCGTTGCTCATGAAGCAAGGTGAAGCCAGACTGAATAGTTTCACACCAGCTTTGACATATCTATTGCGATGCAACAGCGATGTAACCAGCCTTCTCTCAGGTACAGCGATCAAGGCGATCACTGCATATGTAACAGACTACATCACAAAGACACCTTTGAAGACTCACACTATGTTTTCTGCAGTGAAGACAGTGTTCACACGTAACACTGAGCTCAAGTCTGGGGATGGCAGTGACCGCAAATTGCGTGCTCGTAGACTTATCACCAAGGTAGTCAATGCTCTTTCTGCCAGTGCTGAAACAGGTGCACCAATGGCATGCATGTATCTGCTGAAACAACCAGATCATTATACAAGCCATGTGTTTAAGCCTTTCTATTGGCGTAACTACAGGTATGAGGTTATGAAGGCATGGACAGAAGAAGAAACTGTGTACAATCCAAATGAAAAACCTGTCAAGGTAGTTATTGGAAAGAGTAAACAGAACTTTGTAGGCATTTCTCAACAAATGGACTATGTACACAGACCTTCAAAGTATGAGAATGTGAGCCTATATGACTGGGTACGACTAGGCGAGAAGCAGACCATGGGTCGTGCTATGAAGCGGGCTACCCAGAATACAACAACTGTCAATGCTTCAGAGAAGCAGGAGCCTGTAAAGCATGAGCTGACATCTCCTGCAGATGTGAAGAAGCTAAGAGAAATAAAGTCATTGCCGAGATGTGTCGGTGGAGGGCGGCCAACTAAGCATGAGTCTGAAAGTGAAGAAGAGCCACTGTTCACAAAGTTGACAGCCATAAACGCAGAAAGACAGAAAAGGAAGGACATCACTGAACAGTTTCATCAACCAGGAGGATTTTTACCCACACATCCTCAATATGAAACACACCCATGATGGCTGTTGTGTTGCCAGAGCATTGTGCACGGGTACCAAACTTTGTAGGTGGTAATTTGCCAAGGAGAGATAAAGGAAACCGAGAAGAATATTGTCTTGCCATGCTCATGCTGTTCAAGCCATGGCGAAATGGAGCAGACTTGAAACAAACAGGCCAAACCTGGGATGATGTGTTTGCTACATATGAATTTGAAGTGCGACAAAAGGAGATCATGAACTTCTTTCACATTAGATATGAGTGCAATGACTCCAGAGATGACTTCTCGAAACAGAGGGAAACAGAATCAGGAGGATTTGTATTTGAAGATGAGAATTCAGATGAAAATGACATGGATCCTGATGAATATACTGACATTGTCCAGAGCAGTTTGACAGGTGATGATGGTGCAATTGATTATGATTCTGAATGGGATGTGCTTGGGAAGCGAGCTTTAGGAAGAATTGCACAAATGCAACAAGCTGAGCACATTGCCCATACCAGTGGATGGCTAGATGACAATAAATCATTGGATCCAGTAGTAGCAGAATGCTTCAAGCCTCTGAGCACAACGGCAGGGACAGAATGGAAATCTTTGCTGACAGATAAGAGGGAAGATATCCTCCGAAAACGTGAAGAGCAAGCAGCCGCAAAACCTGCATTGAAATCTGTTGGCAATAATTCACAGACAGAATCAGGAGGTTATGTTGATGATGTGAAGCTAGTTGACTATGATTACATGTCCACCAAGTTCAGGGCAACAGAACAGAAGAACCAGGAAATCATTGATGACACAGTTGAGGCTTTCATGTTGAACACAGAGCAAGAGCGAGCATTTCGCATCATTGCCAATCATGCAACACAACCACACACAGAGAAATTGAAGATGTACCTTGGTGGTATGGCTGGGACTGGTAAGTCACAGGTCATCAAGGCACTCATTAACTTCTTCAATGTGCGAAATGAGGGATATCGTTTTATTTGCATGGCACCAACTGGGTCTGCAGCATCACTTATATCAGGCTCCACATATCACTCTGTGCTAGGCTTCTCAAAGTATGGGGAGGCTAATGCAGGGGCTCTGAGAAACGTGCGTGATCGTCTGAAAGATGTTGATTATATGTTCATAGATGAGATTTCCATGGTAGACTGTAATCATTTCTATGATATTTCAGCTCGTCTTTGTCGTATATTTGACAATGATGGTGAACCTTTTGGGGGCAAAAACATGATTTTCGCGGGAGATCTTGCTCAGCTTGAGCCACCAGGCTCTGGCTATTCATTGTTCTCAGCCAAAGTTAGCAGTCTCAGGCACTCTACATCCAGTTGGAGACAGCAAGAAGCATCTCTTGGCAAAGCCATATGGCACCAAATCACCACAGTGGTCATACTGCGTCAAAATATGAGGCAAAAGTCTCAGACAACTGAGGATTCAAAATTCAGAAAGTTGTTAGAAAACCTGCGCTACAAGGCATGTAGTCTGGCAGATGTCAAGTTTCTCAGAGCACGCATAGCGGGGTGGGCAAAGGGCAGGCCTAAACTCAATGATCCAAGCTTCCGCAATGTATCAATTATTCTTTCCTATAACTCACACAGAGACCGCATTAATGAGCTTGGTGTAGCCAGATTTGCAAAGGACAATGGACAAACTGTTGAGACCTTCCATTCTTTGGACCACTATGGAAGCCCAGATGAAGCAACTAAGCAGCACAAATCTAAAAAAGATGCTAATGTTCGTCGTAAAGTTGACAAAATTCATCCTCATTTGCAAGAACAACTGTGGGCACTTCCTCACAAAAACACAAACAATCATCCAGGTAAACTTTTATTGTGCATTGGTCTTCCAGTCATGATCAAGGCAAATGAAGCCACAGAGTGCAATGTGACTAATGGTGCAGAAGCTGTTGTTGTGGGCTGGGAGTCCAAACCAATGGCTGGAGACAAGAAGATGCTTGACATAGTTTTTGTCAAGCTCACAGCCTCCCCAACTCCTGTCAAACTGGATGGATTACCAGAGAATGTAGTCCCCATTGTAGCACAGACAATGAAAATTCCTTGTCTGATGCCCAATGACCGTACCCTGACCATACATAGAACTCAAGTTGCATTGATACCCAACTTTGCAATGACAGATTTCAGCTCTCAGAGTCGCACAAGGCCATACAATGTAGTTGATCTTCAGAATTGCAAGAACCACCAATCAGTATACACATGTTTATCTCGTGGATCTAGCTATCAAGGCACCATCATTGTTCAAGGATTTGACAACTCCAGATTCATGGGTGGTGTAACTGGCTGGCTTAGACAGGAGTTTAGGGAACTAGAACTACTGGATGAAATCACAAAATTGAAATATGAAGGAACATTGAATCCAAAGGTAGAGGGTGTTACACGGGTTGCACTCATTCATTCCTACCGATCAACAAAAGGTAAGAAGTACATGCCTCGAACAATGCACAGTGCATTGAAATGGTCTGACAGTGAGCCTTTTGAGATAGAAAAGCCATATCAAGAAGCAGAGTGGGAATTAGTTAAACGGTCAAAGAAAGACAAACACAAGCAATCACAGACTGATCCTGACAAACTAGTGGAATTGACAGCAAATTCAGATCCAAAAAGTCTGAATATACATGAACTGCAAGCAGCAAAGTATATACCTGCCAAAGGTACCACACAGCTCAACACTGTAAGTACTGACACTGGCTCTAGAACCAAGCGGAAGCACAAGCAGATGTCAACTCATGAACTTGCTGGGGAGAGGGCCATAGCTGGCAGTACGATCCCTTTTGTTGGATACATGTCAGTTTGTGAGTAAAACATTTTGACTACATCAGAAGTTAAGCTCAGAAAGACTGCTAATATATTGCCTGCATAGAGTACTGACATATCTTCCACATTTTGCACCACCTAGCTGCCATCTCATGGCATAAACATTCAGAGTAGCCTGCTAATTTATTATGTTGTTCTAATTTGAGGAGCATAGTTTGCAATTATGAGCAACATCCCAGTTGAGTAAGTATTTACATATTGATATGAGACTCTCCATTGAGAACACAGACATTATGGATCTATTTCTTACTTGATGAATTGCCAAGTTAATTACCAATATTACCAAAATACTAAGGAACAGTGTTACTGGTTTGTGTTGATATCAACAAAGAGAAAATAGCTTGGAAATGTTGCAAAGAAGTATGCCTCTAGATCAACTAGAACTCAAGGAAGGGGAATCTGGGAGGTTGACTACAGTAACAACTACTCAGCTGGGACTTGCTGTTGTACAAGTATTAGCCCTTGATCAGAGAGAACTTTTGATACAGAAGGATGTCTTTCAATAGATTGTCAACAGTACTTCCCCAAGTACAAACCAATCAACAGTCAACAGAGAAGTATACCAGTAAGAAATTCTGAAAAAAGGCCCTTCCAGAATTGTCATGTTATACAAGTAATACAACCAAAGACTGTCCAGTTTGCTCTCACCATTTGTACACTGAAGTGAACAGTTACCAGGCACTGACCAGTAGTACAAAGCCATACTAAGGTATGTTACTGGATTGGAGCTCAGCCAATAGTAATGGGCTAATGTATGATGTGAATCAATGTACCACCATGGTGAGTGCCATCAAGACTGATAGAGTCATGGGCAGGATTGATCACTGATGAATTGAAGGTACATAAGAGCACAGAAGCAAGTGCTAGATGAGTCAAATGTTTCTCTTAGGGATGCTCCTTTTGTGCATTTCCCAAGTGCACTCCCTCTTAGCTACATAAATACTTCATAGAATCCAAATAGTAGAAGACTCAGTACACCACTTTCCCAGGCCATTCAAGATGCACAATAAGGCTCAAAAAGTAGTGAAAAAGCAAGGCAAGGGTATGTGTGTTTGCCACTGATCATCAAGCATGTGCTCTGTGAAACATGGGACCACATGGATGTTAACCTGAAACACTAGTGTAGCCCTATGAAAACTCAGAAATAGTGTACAGCTTGATGAGCCACTCATAGATTGCCTGCCACCTGGAATATTATCATCAATATTCTGAGCTAATAGTCACCCAGTAACAGCTTTCAGATTATCTGGTCACAAGGGGCCTAAGGAAAGTACTCGGAGCCTGGTAATAGTCCAGTCAGTACATACACAATCAAGTGCTACAAAGCATGACAATGTGAGAAACAAAAGATCACCTGAATGTGGTGAGAAGGCACTGTGAATACTACAGTGAAGTCCATAAAAGGAAATCAAATAAAGATAACAAAATGCAGGAATGATAACAACTGCTGCTTATCCTATTCAAAGATCACATGCAGTCATCTACCCCCTGGTGAGTTGCTACCCCCAGTGGGTTGATTCCCTTACGTGGGCAAGTCTGCATCCATTTGAGGGAATTTATTCGCACGCCTGGTCGCGAGACACTGCCCGAGGATGTTATCTTGTACTGATAAGATTGCTCACATCCATATATGGCTCTTATCACCCGCAATAGGCAGTTGACCCACCAGGGGGTAGATGACTGTATGTGGATTTCCTTGTAAAAATGCCTTGTCCCTAACAACAGCCTGCATACTAAGACTTGCACATGGAGTCATTGTTGCCTCTTCCAGGTATTCTAGTAATGCCTAATATCAATGGTCATGCACTCTGGTCATAAGTCAAGGGATTTCTATATCTCCAGACACACTCCCAAGGTAATTAATTACCAGTGCCATTTTCTGGGGGACTGTGTGTGCACATACAATGGTACTATATTGGGATTAGACACCATATGTTGATATTGACATTCCTCTGGCATGGCAGGTACAATCCAGGATGAACTGCCAAATTGGGTGCTAGTAGGCACACCACATATTCATATTTCCAATGCTGTTCATATATCAAACATGTTCACACCATGGTCTAAAGTGCTATTTTTCCATTTCCCATATAACATGAAATGATTGAGCATGAGTAGCTGACATTTTATAATGACATGTAAAAGGAGACAGTTGCAGCAAATGAGAGTACTCCTGAAGGCATATTACTGACTAGAGAGCTATAAAAGGACAGCCTTATATTGCTCAGAAGTATGGCCTCTTCACTGTTGCTTAATAAGCAATGCAAGTCTGCATTATTCCAGAGCAACCATGGCTTCTTCTAAGCCCAATCAGAAGAAAGCTGCCTTTTCTATCTCCACATACCAAGGGCCATCACATGAGAATAGGATGACGGTAGTGCATACAGAGGTTAGATATGTTCCAGGCAAAAGTCATCTGAGGGACTGACAACCAAGCATAGCACCATATACTATATAATTGGTACTGCTTCATATGGACAAGATTAGTCAAGGACATGCTTATACTGGACTGCTACAATAGAGCTGCTGACATCAGGCTATGTGCATCTGCATTAGCACATGTGAGATGTACTGTTTGCATTGGCCTACAACAGTCAGCACAATGTGAAGTCATGGGATTGTCTGATTTTATCTTATTTTCTACTATTTATCTAGCATTGCAGAGACCATCAAAGACTTTGATACACTATGTGTGGTAATGTGGTGGCCCCACTTTATGACATTGCTAGCCTATGAAGTTTCTCACAACAGTAGTACTGCATAACACAACTTGTACAATGTCTTTGTATCACTTTTTAGGATCAGTACAGTGTGAAAAGATCTGTGGACCCACAATTCTGATGGCTATGCTATTGACATGTGACACAGAGTGAGTATCATGAACATGCTCAGCATGAACTGTGCCAGCCTTTGTGCCACAGGTGTCCACCATTTTCTGAATACGCTATAGCCTGCCCAAGGGTTTAGACAGAAGCCAATCACTACTTACAGCAAACAGTACAAGGTGAGCCTGAGTGGAATCATTCAAGTATTGTCTTGTTTTATCCGCATTTTCTGAGCCCAGACACAGCAGGTAACTCAGACTTTCCATTTTGGGAATGTAAACTATCACATATAGCAGGTTTGGTCACACAATTCATAGGCAGTTGGTAAGCATCACAGATAAAACAAACAATGTGAAAGAACCAGTGTTCACAGAGCCATATGCTGGTGCTATATTTGTATGAATCTATGGGAAAGCATACTATGTAAAGCCTCTCTGGCATCATATACATGACTAGTAATTTTCCCAATTGTTTTTGATTTTTTGGGAGACCATAGCACAGCAAATACAGTGTCACTAATGAACTTGTGGCTTGCATTCAAACTCAGCCCAACAGCTTGGCAGCCTCCTTTTCAGGCCTATTGAATAGCTGAACCAAACAGAAGATCCTGTCTGGAATTGCCAGTCCCTGAGAATCCCAGGTGATACTGATTCTTACAAGATGGACCAAGACTCACTGACAGAGTGGCTTACATCAGGCTATGCATGGGTCATTCTGCATTATTATATGTTTTCTGCCATATTGGAGCCTCAACAGTCAACTCAATATGAATTCATAGTACTATCTGATTTTTCTCTGATTTTCCTGCTATTTATCCAGTCCTGCAGAGGCCATGCACGGCCAACTTCCCAAATGGGCAGGGACTGACCATATATGGCCGTTTTGTATGTTTGATATCCCCCACTTCACAGAGCCTCTCATACATGTGGAACTGTCTAGTACAAGCATCATACACACACCAAGATCTGCTTATATGCCTCAGTATCATCACTTATGATGGTCAGTACTCTCAAAGACACCTAATCTGGACACTGCTATCAGTACCCAAGGGGCATCCCATGGAGAAGCAATATTTGGGATTTTTCCACATTCAATGGGGCTCTAGTAAGAGCTCAGGTAGTGTGGCTTCAAGCCATCAAAAAACTCGGCATGAAGAGCTGAGATTGAAAGATTACTTTAAAAGGTAACATTTGTCAGCATTCCAGCCAATGGGAGTGCTCCAAAATCCCTTTTGAGTGACCGGAGTCGTCGACAGGCCGGAATTCCGGCCTGTCGACGACTCCGCTTCGGCAACGGGCGCTTAAACGGGCGCTTAGTAAGCGATGTAAGTTCAGCCTGTTACTGCAGCAAATCTGACTTGTTTTGGGCTCAGAAAAGTCCAGGAAAATCGGATAATATTCCAGGAGATCTGTGGAGCATTTATGAGCATATTCACAAGTAGAGAGGATTGTCCTGTATAGTTATTCAGTGCTGGGACATCAACACATGCTTGCTATGACAATATTTCTCCATTCGTAGCACTGCTGTGCATGTTTCAGAGACATCAATGTGTTGGAAACTATACACTTGGCCATAGAGGACATCTGTCATGTGTCTCAGATGCAACAGAACACATTCATATTCACAGAGTCACTTCTGTTTTTTATATTAGCATTTTGCTACTCATTCAACCACTTCTTTCAAGAAACTATGATAGACACTATGAACAAAGGGCTATGAGATGAGCTTATGATATCTACAACAGTTGGTTGGAGCTCAGTCACTGACAGTCAGTGTATCCCAGTCAAATGCTATCATGTCTACAGAGGTAGGGGTGTTTCTCTGCATTTTGAATTTTATACATGGGCAAGCCATACTGGTCATAGCCTCTGGGGGTCCTATAGTGGATCAATTTCTTACATACAGCAGGTACTACAAGTGGGTCCGGTTGCACAGAACTTTCCCTGGTTTTATCTGCATTTTCTGAGCCCAGACTGAGCAGCTGCATTGGAATTACCATTTGGGGAAGGTTAGCTACCCTTTATGGCAGGTCTCAGATGTCATAAAGACATACAGAATCTATGGGCAGTCTACAGGCTTCAAAAGAGTCACTTTGAGGGTGAAAAGGGATGCACTCATGTGCACAGAGGCATTTGTGTGTTTTTTTATTGTGTGAATTGTGCCATAACCACTGAAGGTAATGGGCAAGTCACAGCAGCTATAGACTCTATGACGTCATACCTATCACATAGATTATTTTGGGAATTTTCCGCATTTTAGTGGGGCCACAGTACAGCAGGTACAGTGCCACTAAGGAGCCTGTGGCTGAGATTCAAACTCAGCCCAAAACCTCGGCAGCCTGCCTGATTAGGGCAGAAAAGGGGCTGTTGCACCAATCAGAGCAGCTCGGCATCTCTCTCATGCCGTTCGGAGGTGCAACCGTGCCAAATTTCCGCACGGATGCACCTCCGAACGGCATCTGGGCGCTTAGCGCGCGCTTAGTAAGCGATGTAAGTGCGGACTATTACTCTGCTTATATGGGCTTATTTAGACCCAGGAAAAAGCGCAAAAATCAGAGAATATTGGAGATGGACCAGGGAATGTGATTGAATCTGTCTATGAGATATGCTTGACATCAATAAAGGCAGCATTTCCAATAACTGTGTAACATCACTGATGTTACCTCAGTGAGCTTATTCATACAAGCCTGCTACTTGACTGTAGGAACTACTCATGTAGTTGAGGACACCCCATAGGATGGTAGTGTAAGTACAGATGCATATATGTATTCTGTGCTTGCGTCTGTGTGCAAGACAAAGCCAGTGGCTGCATAATTGCCATATGAAGTATATTGCCTTCCCAAAGAGGAATCATACACAAACTGGTGAATCTGGGGCTCAGAAAAATCCAGAAAATCTATGAAATATACAGACACATCAAAGACAAGTGCATGGTTACTTTTAGTCCCAATTTTGGTCATTACATGGTGTCCATGGGCCACAATATGGCAATGGATGGTAAAATGCCCCATTGTTGACCTTGTTAGCTCTGTTATAGAAATCACTGAGCAGTACACAGTGCCTAAACCACCCATATATATCACAGTGTGCATACAGAACATATTTCAGCCATAAACAAGTACTTTGAATCTGCAGAGGCACATGTGCATTTTTATATTTTGCATTTCCTGGCCTAGCCAGCCACTGTATGCACTCAGTAAAATCCCTGTATACTCTCTGCATGAAGGACTATCAGATGAGTATACTATGTATACTATGCCTTGTTACTGGCTGAGACTATATAGGCACTACAGTGTGTGAGCGCTTGCAGCATTGAGCCACCAAGCTGCCAGTCACATGATATGTTCACCAGTTTTCTTATTGGGGGAATTGCTAAGGCGTTTCATGGGCCTCATATCCATAACTGAGCGCTTAGCCACTGCATTTGTTTGTATCTGTTGGTCCAAGTCGTGTCGTCTGGGAGTCTGAAATTTCAGACTCAGATAAGCAACCTATACTAACAGTTACTTATCTCTGCTTATCGGGGTGGCTGCATGTCACGTGCACTGTGGGAACAAACTGCCATTCTGGAGGAATCACTAAGGCGTTTCATGGTGGTCCATCATAAGAACAATACCTTCGTACCTCAGGGATCGTAACAGGCTTCTGAAATGAACAACAAGAGAATACGGACCACAAGCAAATCAACAGAACCTAATGCCAAAGAGCCAATATGTTTCCAATGGAATGGTGACACATACAGTTGTGCATTTGACACCCTTTTTGGCATCCTGCATAACATATATCAAGAACAAAATCTCTTTTGGCACACACACATTTCCAACCAGAACAAGATATTGAAAAATTTCACAGAGTTGCTGGACAAAGTGAGAAGGAAAGAGATGGAGCTTGATGATGTCAGGGACAGCATGCATCAGATGCTACACCATGAAGATCCTTCATCATTTCCAATAGAAGCACCTGCTGGTACTGACCTGTATGCTCTCTGTAAATCTGTGCTGGGCCATGATGTGTCTATCTATAGTGAGACTGAGAGATGCTCATCCTGCCATGTCTGCCAGCATGACAGCTCATCTAGCACTAGGTTATGGACACTGGATGCTGCACTGTGGGATTCACGTATTGGAGTTGGACGTGCGACAGAATCACGTACAATGGCCCAATGGATCAAAGCCTCAATGAAACATAAGATAAGCAATAGGTGCAGATTCTGTAATGCAAGTATGGTGCATGAAAGCAAGTTGTTAAGACCACCTAATTTCATTGCCTTCAATGTGTACAGAGCTGATAACACAAAATTGAGCAAACAGATCTCTCTGAGTACATCCCAAGGACCAATTGATTATAGGCTTTCAGGTATCATATATTTTGGAGGATTCCACTTCACCTGTAGGATAATCACTGCAGATAGCCACATATGGCACAATGATAGCAGAGAGATGGGTTCAAAGTGCAAATCAGAGGGTAAATTCAAAGCAACTGAATCACATATGCTCAAGAAATTAGGCAGTAGGAATATGACTGTGGCCATTTACACCAGGCTACCTGAGTAAATACAAAAGGGATCGTACTGCCAGACATGGCCCTCTCCCCAGCAAGTACTCGTGTTGCGCTTGCCGCGCGCGACCCCCTTGTCCTGGTGTTCCTTACGAGCCTGTACCTCCCCGTTGTTGACCTTTCGGAAGTACTCCTCCTCCCTCTCGCGATGCTCCGATTCGGGGAGGCGAATGAGTTTGCACGAGCCATCCTTGAGTGCGGAAGCGAGCTTCTGGAGAGGAGGGAGGCTCGTACTCATTTCTGAGGGGTTGATGAACTTGTCGAAGGTCCAGCCAGTGATGTCGATACCATACTTGACCACAAAATCACACTCGAAGTTGACGTAGTTCATGCGTATCTTGCTGTTACCCATCAACTCGACTGTACAGGCCTGTGAACTCGGATCTGATGGCTTGCATTATGTGGACATACCTAGCTGCTTCTGTATCAAGTCTCGGATCACGTCCTTGAGATAGTCCGCGTGATCCTTCGCAGATCGCAAAAACTCTGTTCAGCAGGTCAAGGGCAAGCAAGCTTCGACATTGATACTGCTACTCACTCATGAAGTCGCATCCCGCGATCATGAAAGCCTCCGCCAACGTGCCAATGACCTCGACGTTCCACCCTCGAATGGCCTGGCCAAGATAGACATTGAGCTCAGAGGTCGTGAAGTACCAGCGGGGATCGAAGGCAACACCCGCTTCCCCCTTGACCAAGCAATAGAATCCTTGAGACCCGGTGCGCAGGTTGAGGCCGTACATCTGGAGACAAAATGAAATCAGTCCTTGAATGTAAGACTCGGATGGTATACTTACGAGCTCATCGATTTTTTGGGTCGTTGCACTAATGTCGAGGAGCTTCGCGCGTGACGAGAGTCGGACACCGTAGTTGCACGACGTCCGGGTCTCCTTTAGAACGTCGACGTAGGTGGCCTTTTCGGCGGCCGACATTGCCTCGTACTCGTGCTTGTGTTCCTTCTGGATATCGACCAGTTTTTGTGCCTTGCCAGGGATCGTGTCTACACCGAACTCTGTCCAATCACTGGACACCGATGCGAAAGGAAGAGATGTACCTTTATTGGCCGTCTTCGCTAAGGAGCTTGACCACGCGTTGTAGGCGTTCGGCTTGCGAGTCAACTTGGTGTTGGTAGCATCGGAGAAGAGGAGGTGAAGGTAGTAGTCAGCGGTCTTGCCAAAATCCTGTGCCATCTGTTGAGCAACCGCGACAGTGTACGCATGCCATTGCTCGATGCGTGCACGGATCTTCTCCTCCTTCTCGTCACGGGCGGCAGCCATAGCTTTTCGGACGTCAGGAGCAAGAGGAAGAGGAGGAGCACGTTTGATAGGCTCCTGTGGCCTCGCGGTCACCGCCAGCGCCGGCCCGAAGGTCACGCTGGCCATGGTGAGGAGTACCACGAAACCTCGCACAGAAGACAAGAAGCACGCCTGAATGAGGGAATCAAGGGGAATCGTTGGTGCGGGGCATTTTTGAAGAATGTCGTGGCTTAAGACGTTCGTGACCAGCGCTTATGAGCAAACCTGAAACTTGTACCTTGGCGACGATTCCCAGATTGGGAGCAACCACAGCAGGACCAATTAAGAAAAACATGACATAACATTCTGACAGCTGATGTCACTCCAGCAGCCGAGTCAGCGAGGTCGAAAGTGTACGAAACTGTATAGCATTGAAAACCAACACGATATGCGAGCAAACAACAACGAGCAGCATAGATCACGAGAGATAGTCACAGTGATGGAGAGCAATACGACAGGTAATATGACGAGTAACAGCAAACAACGACGAGCAACAAGACGCAATGTCGACGAGAACAGAACGTGCAAAGAACTTAGTCAGCGCCGAGCAAATCCTGCTCCATGGCTTCCTTCAGTTCCACTGCTACAGCAGCAGGGATACGAAGCCGTTGTTCGAGCTCACCAGCCCAGACAATTGCAGCACCCGTACTGGCGACCGACTCGCATGTGTTATGAACAAGATAGTCGAGCTGATGGCGCTCGATGACTAGCTGCACAGCGACACCGAAGCCTCGCACGTAACGGGACCGCAGAGCATTTGCTGCAGTACCCCCACGAACTGGCGTAGCAGTACCCCCACGAACTGGCGTAAACGGCGCAGAAGCAGTGGGCGCGACCGAAGAGCTTCACGACGGTGAGCCTAGACTCATCGTTTGCATACCTGAATGGAACACGTCAATGTCATCAAAATATAAGCTGGGTCACCACATACCAGTGTCCACGGAGAGCTTCGCCTTCAACTCCTGGATGAGTTCGCGCTCCTTTGCCAAAGCCTTTGTCAGCCTTTCATTGGCCGATTGCACCATTGCCTTCTCCTGGCGCAACACGTGGACTTCGTCAGCCCGCTTTTGGAGGAGTGCTTCTTGCTTCGATACTTTGGCGTTCGCGATGCTCAGCTGTAAGTTCAAGTGCACAATCTGGTCGGCCTTCGCGTCGATTTCGACATTGAGGTTATGCATCGACACCTCGAGCTCCTCGTGCTGACGTTGCAGGACTTCGATCTCGTCGAGTAGGTTATGATGTTCGGCCGTAGGCTGGCTCTGAGGAGCCTTGCTCGCGCCGATCAACGTATCAAGTTGCCCACGAGGACGGCCACTGAAAATGTAGTGTGCGGTGCCGCGAGAGTCGGGAAGCAGAGACGTCAGTGAAGGTCCCGGAGCAAATGATGCGCTGGGGCGATCTTCGTTCCACTTGAACGACCAGTTCAGCTTGTCGCGGGCGATAATCTCGAACTGTTGGACGACGTGAACGGCGAGATCTTCGGTGAACATCTGGACAAGTTTGGCCAATGTCGCATGGGAACTCGGAATCTCGGCCAGGACGTTGGGTGGGGCATATACCTGGATGCGCAGATCCTGGGGAAGGGGAAGAGTGCCGGCAGTACGCAAGGTAGGCTGCTGTGTGCCTGATACATGCATGGCGAACGTGCATCCGCCATCAATACGGTCTAAGACCGTGAACTACAGAGTTGTCAGCCTGAGGTTTGAGAAAATAGTGTGTTTGGCTACGTACTGCATCAAACCCCAAGTTTTGAACTCTCTCTTGGAAGCTCGCACGCACTCGTTGCCCAGGGAGACCCGTAGCAGTCTGCTCGCGGGCCTCTTTGAACGCGGGGTGAACATCGCCGTGAGTGATGAAATGACGGCCGTCTTTGTGCGCATTGGCAATCATGAAAGCGATGTCGGCAGATTCGAGGTTGGGATGGTAGGCAGAGGTCGGAATGATAGATCTGTCGAGTGTGTCCGCGAGGCGTTGCAGACCGACAGGATTGAATGCAAGCAAAGTCAACACCTTGACAGCCTCGTCGTGCCGCTCTTGTCTGAGCTTTTCGGGGTCAACGTTGGGTGTCATTGGTAGACAATGAGAACAACTGAGAGTCAGAGGGAGCGGGTGAGATGTGGTGGTTCATAACAGCCACAAGTGAGTTTGCCGCCCGGAATGCGAGTTGAACGTTTGGTGATCTCGAGCCGCCGTTACTTACAACTCGACATTCTGCATGGCACTGTGGTGGCGGCGTCTGTCGCGGTATCATCTACTCTAGACCTAGGAATTAGATGCATATCTACAATGTATAAATGTGTATCGAAATTTACATACAGATGTATTCCTCTGTTCGACGTTGGTACTAGCAGACCAGATGCATGAGTTGTGATGATTGAGCGAGATCGCACTTTACAGGCCCACATCGGCACCACTGGCATATTGTCGCCCACATTCAATAATTCGTCAGGATACTCTTCGACAGAAGATACATCAATTGTGTGTCGTGCTAAGCCGAGTCTTCTCTACCAAGATTGTCTATGAAGTCTACATACGCATTCGCGTCACGTTCAGACTCGAGGCCTGCTGCCAACGGTTCCATCTCGTCGTCCTCCACAGCATCACCATCGTCTATGCCTGCACCGGCTGGGCACCGAGCCCATGCTGGTAAAGGAATCCCATCATTCCTCGTGGCGGAACGTCCAGTTCAACGCCCAGTTAGAATATTGCCCGAGAAGCCACGCAGCTGCGAAGTTTGCTGTAGATGTGCGGCGATTCTGGCATGAATGCTGCTCCGATAACGCCAACGCTCCTTGAGCTCGCACACAAGATCAGGGACTGTTGCTGTCACCTGTTGGATGGCCAGGTGGTAGTCAGCATGCTCATCGTACATAAACGTGAGCAGGCGCTGAATCTCAACATTCAGTTGTGCGATCTCCTCGTGGGCCCACTTGATGTTGAAATGCAGGTTCATTGCTCGCCTGTGTGAAGTTTGCGCCCACGGTTGCTTCTGAATATTGTCTCGTGTCTCCCGCAGGAGGTCGAAGTCAGCCAAGGTTACCATGCCCACCACCTCGGTCCACGTCAAGGGCAGACACGGAGGGTTCAGCTTCGCTGCTTTCGCATTGTAACGATTCAAGGCCTTCCTGATTGCCTCAGCACGTGCCTTCAAAGCCTTCCCAATCTTCTCGCGAAGCTTGTAACCTGCAACAGATAAGACATCTTTTAGTGCACACATGACGATACACATACGAAGTACTCACCAACGCCACTCATTCCGAGCTTGGTGAGTTCGAAGAGCCGCTGAACGATGAGACGTTCGAGTTCGTCAAGCGAGCGTTGGTACTCTCGAATGGTGAGGAGCTTCGAAGCCTCCTGATACTCCGTACTGCCTGGCATCCATCGCACGTCGAGGCCTAGTTGGTTCTTGAACTCGACGCAGAGGTCGTCAACGGCGAGGTAGCGCTTGACCGCATTCGTCCGGTTTGCCCTCACTCTCCCAGCGTCCTTATTCGTATAGCCATTGTGAGTGATGTTGTGCTCGAGGTCTTTAAGCTGCTTGTCCGCGGCGGCCATCTTCTGCCTGCGAAATGCATGTCAGGTAATGCGTGTTCGATACATCGCAACCTACCCTGCATCTTCAAATCGGCGGAGCACCTCGAGGTACTCAACCTTGCGAGTCACCTCCGGTGGCTCAGATCTGCGATTGCGCAGGTACTGCCTTTTGTCCTTCAAGTATTGCTCAAGGTCCGCGACACTGACCCTCAATTCGGCTAATAATGCGGCGAGGACACGTCCGTCTTCCTCAATGATATTGAGTGCCTGTCGATAATTGTTGTATATAAACGTTCCTGGTGCATATCAGTAACTTGATGGCTTGGAAGCTATTCGACGTAGCTTACCTGAATCACTATGCTTCTGCTCGCCCCACGACCAAAAGAACTCCTCGATCGCCTGCTCCCGGTGAAATACGGAAGACATGCGCGTTCCTGAGGCGAGGCTGTTGGATTCCGAGAAGCACCGTTTGCACCCTTCGAAATCCTCCTTGCCAACTCCGTCCATGTAGAGAGGGTGCCAGTGCACCTGACAGCCGTGATTGTGGCTGTGTCCGTGGAACGCCGGTACCACTCCCGCCATGCGATGCTGCCAAGCCTTGGGGCCGATGAAACTTTTCGCGAGAGTCTTTGTGAAAGTGCATGCAATGTCGTACGCGACTAGGACGTCAGGGCCGTACACGTCCATTAACTTGTCGACGATCGCGAGAGGGTACTTCATACTAGTGTCAAAGTTAGCGTTCGAGGGCCACGAAAGTAAGGTAATGTACTCACAGCTCGCCGCTTTTGATCATGTCACACAAAATGAGGAGTTGCCCATGACGGCAGAGACAGACGAAGATGCCTGTCATGGCGAAGAGGGCGAACATCTTCTTTCGTGCCTCGGGGCCCGCATTGCGCCAGCGCTCCACGCATACGTCGACAGACGCTTCGATCTTGCCATTTTCGGAATCTGCTAAGTTTAGCCATTGAACGTCATCGCTGTGGAGATCGAGGTCTCGGAGATTATCCGGGGCGGGACCCGACGCAATGGTGCGATTGTCGACATTCATCTGCGCAGTTCCATCCTCGCCAACATCAATGCCTGTGCTCTATGTACAATAGAGAGTCAAAAATGGGATAGGGGAGTGTATTAAGCACTCACCGTTTTACCAGCTTCATCTTTGAATCAATCTACTTCAGCAGGCGACAGCCAGATATCTGTTCGTGCAGTTCGCGGGTCCGCTCGCGCAGTGCCGTGCCGGAAAGCATCGTCAATGAGTTTGAGGGATTGATTACTGTCGATAGTCACCATGAGAGAGTACTTGAGCTCAGGTTCGTCTTCGAGCTTGTAGAGACACGGTGCACATGCGTTCAGCATGCGCCAGTGCGGAGTGTCTCGTCCCAGTGCGGTGTCTACGAGCTTGTCGACACGATATTGAATGTCGAGGTAAACATCATATGCGTCGCTGAACTGCTTGATGAGGTGTTTCTGGAAAGGAACCTACACGCGGTCGTGTCGAAATGACCAAGCAGCAGATACATGCTTACTTGATGCAGGTAACAGAGTGCTCGCACTTGTGCTTGCACGCTCAGTCTTGGGCAGGCTCGATGAAGTTGCCGATAGGCCTCTAGAGCCTTCAGCGAAATCGTGACCGTGGGTTTCTGCGGAGCCGCGCCGAGGAACCCGTTCCAAATGAGTGTCGAGTTCACGTAGAGGGTGGAAGCTGGATGTTTGAATATACGTCTTGACGAAGCTGCAATACATTGCATTAGAGTGCTGCCAGGTGATCATTCGCAAACATGACGCACCAAAGAATTCGACTGTCACCATGTCCCACTCCACCTCTGAATCCAACCCCTCCTGAAAGTTCATGTGCACGCCGGGTACCTCATGACCTTCATCCTCGCTTGAGCTTGTCTGTCCAGAATGCTCACGCTCGTCGCTGCCCGGATGCGAGCTGGACGAATGGGGTAAAGGTCTGAGAGAGAGCCCAACAGCGCGCGTAACCACTCACCTGTCCGCCGTCGTACCACTGGCACTAGAAGGCGTATTGGCCGTCTCCATAGATGATGCTTTCCAAGCTAAGTATGCATCAACGAGAAGGGGCATTTGAGCCCGCCATTCGGCCTGAGCTCGCTGAAGACGGTCTTGGCGCGTGTGGTAATCCACATGTTTGCTAGCTTAGTTAGTGAGAGGCCATATAAGCGAACATGATACGTACATTCGGTGGTTGAAGAGATCTTCGCAGATCTCTGTTTTGGGCCCCGCATTGCTCAAAAACATTGCTTCCTCACCAGGAGGAAGCGGAGGCGTGTAGTCCTCCCAATCACCCGGATTACCTCCCTCAGGCTCGTCTGTGATATTCATGGAATCCAGCTGCTGTCGCTCCTCAAAGCTAAGACCTACACTCGCGTAAGCAACAAAACAACGTTGGGCACGAGAATCGTACCTGCTACTAGCGCACGACGCTCCCGCTCTGCTTGGTCACGCCGTTTCTGTCCATTGCTGAGCTTGAGCTTGTTTGACTTCTTCAGCCGCGCGCCGAAAGGGTTCCCGGAGTTGACGGTAACCAACTTCGAGAGGTAGCTGGGTACCTTTGGCATAGGAGTGGATATAAGCGGATGCAAAGGTACAACACGGAGGCGAGTCATGAAGGCGATTGCCTCATATGGTAAGGGCACGTGAGATGCCACCCACCGTTCAATACTTAATATTACTTACCAAGCTGCTCAAACGTCTACGGGGCTTGATCTGAGAAGTGCATACATAGGGACTGAACTGTTCTGTGAGGGACGTGACCATAAATAGTGTAGGAAATGACTGACCTAGCACAAGTCACGGCAACGGAGGGCATTACCCAAAGAGGAAGTCAGGCTGCTTAGTCATTGGCGTGAGCGCCGGTATCACGCACGAAGAGGTCGAAAAGCAACAGCGCCGGCGGGGCGGGACGAAGCAGGGAGCCCGCAAGCAGCAGCGGGGCAGCGGGACAGTCGCGGGCGCCGGCAGGGGCGAGACGGGGCGGCGGGAGAGTCGCAAGCGCCCGCGGGGGCGGGACGTGGCGGCGGGAGAGGCAGAAGCGCCGGCGGGGGCGAGCCGGGGCGGTGGGAGAGGTGCAAGCGCCGGCGAAGGCGGTGACAGGTGTGGGGAAGCCCCACAGGGCAGGCCCGGAACCAACGGATATAAGGCAAACGACTACAAAGGACAATGGACGGTGTTACACACGGAAGGGACGTCGAAGGATAGGTTACCTAGGCAGCACAACCGGAAAGCAACTCATTAGGGCAACCGGAGGCAGCCCTGGACGGCACCGGAGGGTACAGGAACGAACTACTCCTCACGCACACTCTCCCCCTCATCCATCAAATCAGTCTCGGTCTCGGTTTCGACACCCGCATCCTCGAAATCGTCACTAGTACGCGCCGGAGGGAACTGAAGGCGACGCGGAATGCCGGAATAGTCAGCGTCCGGAACGTACACGCCACGCGAAAGACGATCGTGCACGCCGGCAACACTGGACGCCAGGCCGGAAAGAATACAGCGGGTATGCTGAGCCTCGGACTGGAAGGAGGCGGACACGTCACGTTGAACGCTAGCATAACGTTGGAGCTGGGAGATGAGCGCGTCGAGGCTGTCGGAGGAAGCCCGGAGGGGGGAGAGCTGCATGGGCCTCTCGAGGTACCGGACCGGAAGCAACGGACGGCCCACTTCGACATGGACTGCTCAACAGCGACGCGGTTGGCGGACCAGGCGATAGCAGGGTACGGCTCGCCAATGACGCTGTGCTCGGACGTGATGGTCGAGAACACCTGGTCAAGGTAGTCGATCAGATCCTGGACGTCGGAGAACCGGCAGATGAGAGGGAGGGACACGTCGCCATGCGCAGTAGCTCGCGCCCGGGAGTCGAAGAGCATGCGCTACGCACCGGAAGGAGCGTCAGCCCGCCGGAAGGAGAATATACGAGATGAATATCACCCACGACGATCCAGCGGGCGGCGTGGGCCCAGGCCAACCATTCGGTAGGACTGTCAGCGACAAGACGCGGCTCGACGACTCGTTCATCCCGGAGGAGAGCAAGAAGACGGTAGAAGCGGGTAGAGTAGACGATGGCGGAGGGGTTGGCTGGGGCATCGGAGGGCATGGCGCTGGACGGGAGACGGTACAGGAAGGGAAGGAGGGGGCTTAAGAGGACCGGAGGGAACGGGGAAGTACGGGGAGGAGTGCCAGCGGGCGGAGGCGTGGGAGAGCAAGCCGGAGGGAACATAAGGGAGGGAGCCGGGGACCGGGAGGGGAGATCCTACCTACCTACCACCTAGGAGTAGAGAGCGAGCTCAACGGCGATTCCCTGCGTTTCTGACTGCGTCCTGCGTTTACTGCGTTGCGAATAGATCACTGCGTTCACCTTCAACGAGCACCGCGTTTCCTTCCGGCTCTCTGCGTTTTATCCGGCTTCAACGAGTTTCTACGCGTTCACTCTGAGTCCCTGCGTTGTGGGACGACTCCACCACTCTCCTCCGACCGCGTTACAGTGTCCCCTGCGAGTATCCGAGCTCGTACGTCCCCTCCGGGCCCGAATCGTCACATCCCCTTCCCATCCGCTTGCCAACAGCCCCCGCCCGTCGTTTCTACCGACACCATCGATTCCTTCCGGTCTCTTTTCGACCCGGGAGACTCGCAACCTACACAACTGGAGCCCACCGCGAGGGGGTATAGCTTGTTGGTAAAACTCATCGACACCCTCTGGTGACTCGTCACGCTGCCTCCCAGGCAACCGCGTAACAACGACCAGCCGTCGATCCCTACAAGGCAGCAGCCGCCGCGCGGACCAAAGCGAAACCTCTTACAGGAGGTCGCCGTTGCACAGTACTCTCCGGACACACCGTTCAACGTCACCCTGCCCGCGCCAGCGTTAGAAGCCATACCCCCGCACCGTTCCGAAGACAGCGACGGAGAGTATTCATTCTTCGAGGCCGTAGAAGCACCCCGTTCCCCTGCCACGTCATCATCGAGCGACTCGATCCCGCTAGCCGTCACCACCCGGAGGAGAGCCCTATCGCTTCCCTCCGACAGCAAGTCAACGGCGCCCGTCGTTAAGCTCGAGCAGACCCCCATTCCGATACCCGAATCTCGTGCCCCGTCATCATCTACCCTCTCCTCATCAGACCTTCCTCCGCGTCCCACGAAACAATGGCCGCACCACCAGTACGTTCCATGCCCGTCCGTGGCGATCGCGCTGCTCCGACCTTGACGGTCAACCTCGTTCCCTCCGACGCTACTTTGACGACCTCGCTGAACTCTTTGCCATCGCTAGCGTCGAGGACGACCCCGGAAGGTATACTACGCGAAGCGCTACCTCAAGCCGGACCAGTCCGAGCTATGGGACGAGGTCGAGGTACCTACGCCGGCGTCGTTCGACGATACAAGAAGAGCATCATGGCCCTGTACCCCGGGTCGGATGGTACGTCCCGTTACCTGGTCAGCGACCTTGAGGCCGCGTCGGCCACGGCAAGGGCGGAGGGCACCGCTACGCGTTCCAGCGAAGCGGAGTACTACCGCAAGTTCCTTCCGGTGGCCAAGTACCTGAAGAAGAATGGCCGCGTATCCGATTCGCAGGTCTTCAAGGTCTACATGGCTGGATTCACGGACGCGTCCGCTGAGGCCATCCGCCGTCGCGTCGAGATACGTAACCCGACCGTCGATCCGGTGGACGGATACACCCTGGAGCAGGTGCACGATGCCGCGCAGCAGTGTCTTGACGCGGTCAGCTACGGAGGGGCCGCCGGAGCGAGCAGTACAGGTGGGGGGAGTCCCGGAGGAAGCGGTACGGACGGAGTAAAGACCGAGTCCGTCGACGAAGCTATGCTGGGGCGTGTGTTTGCTGCAGCTATGAGTATGATGAAGGGCGGAGGAGGAGGATACGGAGGAGGGGCGCCGGCTGCCGGAGGCCGAGGATACGGAGGACCGCCGCCGGCACAGACGACCGGAGGATACGGTCAGGCCGGGACCGGAGGGTACGACTATAGCCAGGGAGGCGGACGCGGAGGGGGATACGACCGTGGT